AGAGTTGCAGAAGAGACTGAGAGAGATGATTTGAGAAGCAGAGATGAGAGAGCGCGGAGAGTGAGATAGATTATGGGGAGAAGCATAGAGATGTGCAGAGATTGATAGAGATGAGGGGTAGAAGCCCAGGGTGAGAGAGAGATGCAGAGAGTTATAGAGAGGATGGGAGAAGCAGATATAGAATGCCAGATAGCGAGATATAGTGAGGGGTAGAATGCCGAGAGACAGAGAGATGAGAGTATAGATATAGAGAGATATTAGAGAGATAGATATAGAGATGATATATTATAGATATATATAGAGAGAGTAGATATATAATCAATATATATAGAGGATAAAGAGTTGATAATGTGTCAGAGATATAGACATCGAGATATAGATATAGATATGTTATTGGATGTGATTTGTCTTTTAGTTTAGGTTATTTGATTATTTTTATTTTTATATTTTTATTTTATTTGTATATTCCAGATTATGAGTTTTGGATTAGGAAGTAAGTGTTTGCCAGGGGTAGGTTGTGCGGTTTGTCTGGTCCTCTAGCATTGTCCTTTCTTGTTCTCTCCTCATCCTATCCTCTCTCTCTCTCAGCTCTCTCGTCTCTCTCTCTCTCTCTCTCTCTCCGTCTCTCGCCTCTCTCTCTCTCTCTCTCTCTCTCTCTCTCTCTCTCTCTCTCGCTTTGCTCCCTCCTTGTTATACTCCAAGTGAGCCTGCCTTTCTCTTGATCAAGTCTCCCCGTAGGCCTACCCTCTCACGCCTAATACTTCTATGTGCAGACACTCCTGCCCAACACTTCCGCCCACAGGAAAATGAGGTGGAAACTGAGCTGCACTTCCTAACCTCCTGCCAAATGTATGACCATATTAGATACACATATTTCCCTCAGATTACAGAGATCCACAAAGAATTCGAAAACAAACCCAATTTTGATAAACTCCCTTATCTACTGTGTGAAAAACCAGTGTGCCATCACAGCTGCAAGATTTGTGACCTGTTGCCACAAGAAAAGGGCAACCAGTGAAGAACAAACACAATTGTAAATACAACCCATATTTATGTTTATTTATTTTCCCATTTGTACTTTAACTATTTGCACATTGTTACAACACTGTATATATACATAATATGACATTGAAATGTCTTTATTATTTTGGAACATCTGAATGTAATGTTTACTGTTAATATTTAATGTTTATTTCACTTTTGTTTACTATCTACTTCACTTGCTTTGGCAATGTTAACACACGTTTCCCATGCCAATAAAGCCCTTAAATTGAAATTGAATTGAATTGAGAGAGAGAGCAGGCAGAGAGAAAAGTACTCAGTTCAACCCATTCACTTTCATGTATTTTTCATGCGTTTCACAGCTAGAAATCTCAATGAGTCACTGCCTTGAGCGCCATTCATTCTTTGGAATACTGCATGGGAACATGGTAGAACACAGAGGCATTCAGATATACTCTATACTGTTGACCCACAAAAATGAGAAAGCATATTTAGGTAAAAAAGTGTAATGGCTTGTGTAAACGTGTGAGATGTGCTCATCCCCGTGTGTGTATTTGTGTGCATGTCTGTGTGCCTACCTGTGTGTGTGCCAGCGTGTGCATGCTTTTGTGTGTGTGTGTGTGTGTGTGCATGCTTACGTGCCTGTGTGTGTGTGTGTGTGTGTGTGTCTTTGTGTGTGTAGCCTACCTGTTGCTGGTTCTCTCTCTGCAGGTAGAGCCGGGCCTGGATGTACCCCCTGGTCTCCTGAAAGGCCTGTCTCTGAGACATCTCGGCAGGGTAGTGGGTACAGATACCTATCATGTTGGTACACAGGAAGACCAAAGCGTTGGCACTCAGCTGGAGAAGTAAGAGAGGGAGAGAAAGAGAGAGAGAGAGTGTGGGGGAGAGCGAGAGAGAGTGGGGGAGAGAGAGAAAAGAGAGAGAGAGGGAGAGAGATAAAGAGAGCGAGAGAGGGAGAGAGAGAGAGTGAGAGTGGGGGGAGAGAGAGAGAGAGAGAGAGAGAGAGAGAGAGAGAGAGAGAGAGAGAGAGAGTGGGGGAGAGAGAAAAAAGAGAGAGAGAGGGAGAGAGATAAATAGAGAGAGAGAGAGGAAAAAATATGGAAAGAAAAGAGAGAGAGAAATGTAATGTATACACTCAACATTTTATAATGTTATATGATACAGTGAACCTGGTGTGACCTGTTGGGTGAGGTTGAAAATAACATTCATATTACTCTATACCAGGGGTACTCAACTACTATTTGAGAAGGTCCAGTGACACACATTTTCTAGCTGGCAAAGGTCCGGATGGATATTGTCCTTTATCGGCGCTGTGGTACAGTATAGTAACAAACTTAGTCATCTACGACTTAGGAAACATGTGGTTATATAAAATGTATATTAAATACATTAAATGAGACTAGGAATTTCAATTAGTTACAACTTCTTTCCAATGTAAACATGTGCAACATTGCATAAACATTGCTGAAGAACAAAAGTGGTTGCATAATTGTATGTGCAAAACGTGCACTGTGAACCATTGTACATTGGTTCACAGTGCCTTGAATTAAAAAATAAATATTTAAATGAAATAAAGTGCATGTCAAGGAGAGTTGAACAAAAATAATAATCTGAATGCACAGAACGTCACTGTGGGCCATGCAATATTCGTGTTGAAGTTAGTCTGAGCCTTGCCCTGCATTAATGAGAGTAATTACACTCTCCTGACAATGCTTTGAACTTTGGCACAAATGGTGTGAGAGCAACTCTGAGACACTGATGCAGGTGTTCATTGGTGAGCCTGGTGCGGTAGACTGATTTACAGCTGTACAGTGAGGGGAAAAAGTATTTGATCCTCTGCTGATTTTGTACGTTTGCCCACTGACAAAGACATGATCAGTCTATCATTTTAATGGTAGGTTTATTTTAACAGTGAGAGACAGAATAACAACAAAAACATCCAGAAAAACGCATGTCAAAAATGTTATAAATTAATTTGCATTTTAATGAGGGAAATAAGTATTTGACCCCTCTGCAAAACATGATTTAGTACTTGGTGGCAAAACCCTTGTTGGCAATCACAGAGGTCAGACGTTTCTTGTAGTTGGCCACCAGGTTTGCACACATCTCAGGAGGGATTTTGTCCCACTGCTCTTTGCAGATCTTCTCCAAGTCATTAATGTTTCGAGGCTGACGTTTGGCAACTCGAACCTTCAGCTCCCTCCACAGATTTTCTATGGGATTAAGGTCTGGAGACTGGGTAGACCACTCCAGGACCTTAATGTGCTTCTTCTTGAGCCACTCCTTTGTTGCCTTGGCCGTGTGTTTTGGGTCATTGTCATGCTGGAATACCCATCCACAACCCATTTTCAATGCCCTGGCTGAGGGAAGGAGGTTCTCACCCAAGATTTGACGGTACATGGCCCCGTCCATCGTCCCTTTGATGCGGTGAAGTTGTCATGTCCCCTTAGCAGAAAAACACCCCCAAAGCATAATGTTTCCACCTCCATGTTTGACGGTGGGGATGGTGTTCTTGGGGTCATAGGCAGCATTCCTCCTCCTCCTAACACGGCGAGTTGAGTTGATGCCAAAGAGCTCGATTTTGGTCTCATCTGACCACAACACTTTCACGCAGTTCTCCTCTGAATCATTCAGATCTTCATTGGCAAACTTCAGACGGCCCTGTATATGTGCTTTCTTGAGCAGGGGGACCTTGCGGGCGCTGCAGGATTTCAGTCCTTTACGGCGTAGTGTGTTACCAATAGTTTTCTTGGTGACTATGGTCCCAGCTGCCTTGAGATCATTGACAAGATCCTCCCGTGTAGTCCTGGGCTGATTCCTCACCGTTCTCATGATCATTGCAACTCCACGAGGTGAGATCTTGCATGGAGCCCCAGGCCGAGGGGGGATCCATTTGCAAATAATTGCACCAACTGTTGTCACCTTCTCACCAAGCTGCTTGGCGATGGTCTTGTAGCCCATTCCAGCCTTGTGTAGGTCTACAATCTTGTCCTTGACATCCTTGGAGAGCTCTTTGGTCTTGGCCATGGTGGAGAGTTTGGAATCTGATTGATTGATTGCTTCTGTGGACAGGTGTCTTTTATACAGGTAACAAACTGAGATTAGGAGCACTCCCTTTAAGAGTGTGCTCCTAATCTCAGCTCGTTACCTGTATAAAAGACACCTGGGAGCCAGAAATCTTTCTGATTGAGAGGGGGTCAAATACTTACGTACAAAATCAGCAGGGGATCAAATACCTTTTTCCCTCACTGTATGTGGAGCCAAACAAGGTCAGGATGTCTAGTGCCAGTCTCTTGAGAACAGGGACATCAGCTGCAGGCGCCATCTTTCCCCAGAAAGTGACAGGGTCACAATCACCAGCCTGCTCCTTCAGAGCCAATCACCAGCCTGCTCCTTCAAAGCAGGCTGGTGCATTTTCTTGCAGCTCAATCAACTCCATTTGCGGTGATGCAACATCTACCCATCTGAAGATCTGTTTTGCTTCTTCTGACAACTTTGTCACATTTGTGACCAAGAAGGGGTTCTGGATGAGCAGCAGCAGTTCTCTTCCAACAGTGAAGTCATCAAAGCGAGTCTTGAAGTTATCCATCAGCTTCTGGATGAAATCAACATAGTTGGGACGACCTTTGTCTTCCGCGTTTGCACCAGAATATTGGGGAGGTGGACAAGCTCTCCCTGGAGATCATTCTTGAAAAGCTCAAATTCCTTCTGGAAAGCCCGGACTGCTGTTATCATATCACACACTGTGTTGTCCCGTCCCTGCAGCTTAACATTCAGTTGATTAAGGTGTGATGTAATGTCTGTCAAAAAATGCAACTGTTTCCATCTTCTCCTCATCTTCCAAAAACTCAGAAAACTGAGTTGCCT